AGATAAAACACTACTAAATAAAAACACCAGGAGAGGTAAAATGTGCAGTACCTTAAACGACTGAAGGGATGGATGACAAACACGCCTTCCTCTTTCTGTCTAATGCACTCCTTCTCCACAGCTACCTCACTGCCGTAGACATACAGCGAGCGGCGGTTCAGCTGCGGCAGCAGTAGGTTTCTCCACCCGCTCCAACGGAAGCGCCTGTGTTTCTCAGGTGCGAGACGCTGCATTTCCAGGCCCTGACTAAGCACTGTTATCACCGAAACACCTCTAACATCTCTCAGCGTGCCTCTCTGACAACTTTATTTCTGGACTTTCTTTTATGCTGACCATTTCATCCACTTTTCTTCATCGTCTTCACGCTCGCTCTCTTGCTTTCTCTCTCTCATGCGCGCACATGCACACGCGCAGGGTAATTTTCCATCACAGTTCTCTGACTCGTTCCAGAATGGGGAAGGAGATAAGTTCCAGAATTTCCATTCTTCCCCCTCTGTCAAACTAACTATTGTCTCATCAACTATTCAGTATCTCTGCCTCGCGCTCACATCAGCTCAGCTCATCTGGACTGCGGGGCGGTTCTTTGACACAAGGTGGTTTTGAATATCACAACTATTGTTATCTGAACTAGACAGATGGTTCTGATAGAACCGGACCCAAGGCTGACAAAGGGAGGTGATAGAATTACTTACGCTCTTATTGTGCGTAAATGACTGTACTGATATGGCAGAGATCATTTCTAATGAACACACAAGAGTGCACAGATAATTTTGCTATTTCAGAAAGAGACAGAATACATGTATCTATTTTTGCAGGCCTTTCTGATTTTTGGAGAAATCAGAGTTTAACTTCGATTTCTTGGGTACGGCTGTGAAACTGGTCTGTGTTTTCGTTGTGGATGTGTTTATATCAAAAACAGACACCTACAGCACATCACAACGGTGGAGCTCACTAGATCTCCTGTAAACTGAATACAGTATTGTGTTGCATTGGCAGCCTATGTTTATGAGAGTCACTAGTCTTGAATTTCAAAGTGGTATTCAAGTAATGTAACGGGTCACTGATCATTCTCAGAAGGCAACAAACACCTAAACTGCATTCATTCGTTGTAATCATATCACATTGCATTCAGTTATCAACTGGGTGACTGAATTCATTAAAACATGACTAGTCACTGGTTTTATTAACAAGCTTGTCTGTGAAGCTTCTGTCTAGTTAAAATACTAAATGATGCTTCCATGTAACAATTTAATCTGTGAAACTTTAAAATTAAAAACAAGAATGTTATATTAATAATAAAAAGGTACAATTATAAGTATTATTATATTAATAACCAATTGCCAATATACTTAAAACTCATAACATTATATATACAGTATATATATATATATAT